TAGAGATAGCAGTTCTGATAAGGCTAAGTGTCCTTTGCCAGACTTCTCAAATTCCCCCTTGCCTAATCATTAGGCACTAGATTTTGGAATCTGACACTGAATTTCCCACAGCCTCTTGTTAGATGGGATGGAGCCAGCAGTATGAACTAGATATGAGCGGGGCATTTTAATACTGAAAGCCCTCAACCCTTCATTTCCATCAGTTGGTGGAAGTGTTAGTAGTTCAAGGAATCTACATCTAACTAAAAGTGTCAGGCTGAAAAAAAGCTACAAGATTATCTCTGAACTTTAGATTTACTTTACATGCATGTCCAAAATAATAATCTAGTTTGTTTGATAACCTTTGTCAGCTGTTTTCAGTGAAGATGCCTTGAAATGCCTCTGGGAACTCATTACTGAGGACAATGATGCATTATCACTGTATAATTGACTTGAACTATTTCTACTGTAGCTACACAGCCAGCGGGGGACAGAACTTTTTCCAAATCTCCTGTTGGCAGATTTGGTAGTGTCATGGGTGGAAGCAGAATCTTAAGTAAGGTTTTATTCATAAGGCAGAAATGCCCTCTGATTTGAGACAGATGTAAATTTGGTAAGATCTCTGCTCACTTGACCAGACCACCCCATTAGTTTATTTATGCAGTCCTTGCACATCTTAATAGAACAAGTGATATTTGAACACAGGGCTTGTTTCTGGTTGAAATTTATGGACAAGCAAAGGTGCATTGATGGGAGCTTTTCATCTCATTGTGCACTGTGTTCCTTAATCTGCAGGCACTGCTCAACCGATGAACACCTTCAACATTGGAGCAACTTGGAAGCTAGGCATGTAAAACCTCTCAATGTGCAGGTAACTATTAGGATTGCTCTATACAATTTGTGCATATATTTTAGCTTGGTGCATTTAGTGTATTATACCTGGCTTCTCCTCCCTTTATATACCAATACATAGTGAAAAAAATACTTTTTAGTGATTCTAATCCAATCTTATTCTAGCCATCAAGCCATAATTCCACAATTAATTAAGCTAAAAGATGATATGTTACTCTAAGGCCTGGTTTACAGAGTTATTTTTTTAATCATGATCTTATTTATGAGTGAAGTGATACTAATTTTAGTACCAACATTTATAAACCTTATTAAAAGGCTAGGTGTTGGTTTGTGTGCCTGTCAGCTGAATTTAATTAGCATTTATTAATATTGTATTCTTATCATAGATCATGCTGCACGATAAAACCAGACATGTATTTTAAAAACAACACATAATAATAGAATAAATAAACTTTTGGAAAATGCAAAAATATAAGCCTAAAAAATCTAAAAAATATAAACCAAAAATAATCTGTAGTTTATAGTCCTTGGTACAGCATGTCTATTAAAAAAAAAAAAAAGACATAGAAACAATTAGGGATGTATTACTTTATTTCTGTCATAAAGCACCTTTCTTTCACATTTTTTTCTTGCTTTTGGAGGCAAACCAGAGTTACGAAGCAGTTTTCACTATCTGTCTCTTGGTCAAGACACAGGGAATTGACCCTAGACTGACAGGACTGACAGAAGACTCTCCTTATTATAACTTGCATTCAAACTTTAAAATTGTGGGAGGGAGGCTGTAAGAATTCTTGTCTTCTGTGGTTCTGGTAAAGGTTGGGGAGTGGGCTGAGTAAGTAAGACTTGCAACATACTGAGCATGTCTACATGTGCCTCTATGGTGCTGTTGTGACTGCACCATCATTTAGTACTTCCTTGTACTAAAATAAAAAATGGTGGTGCACTGTTATTTTTAGCTGCTATGTCACTGTAGCAATGCACTATAGTGAGGGAGAGCGTTGCCACTGCAACATAGCTGTGGTGTCATGGTTTGTGCCTGCTAATGCTATTTCGTTTTAGTGTTGCTACACTGATGTAGTGTCACATGTAGATGTGCCCACTCAGTGCTCAGTTGCACAGGTGGTATAGCTTCTGATTTGATGTAATCAAGCCATCAGAGTCTGAACTGGGGATAACTGTTTATTTTTCTATTCTGTAATGACAGTACAGGTTACAAAGAAAGAAAACAAACAAACAAAACCCCAAACCATACAGTTTGGCAAATTCCCTTCACACTGGCCCACCCCTGCATTGGCAAAAACAATACTTCCTCATCCAGAGTCATCTTTCTTCCAAATATGCCCATTGTACAGTTGAAAAAGGGGGGCTTTATAAAACCCTTCTTAAAATACTGTTATGCAAAATGTCAGACTACTTATAACTATTTCAGAGGAAAACCTCAGTGGAGATAGCTGCTATATGGAGGTGCTTGCGAATGTTCAATTAAATGGTCGTTTCAGTTAATTATGATTTCATATGTTTATCTACCATCCTAAGTACTTCAGTCAGAGAGAAGTTACATTAATGGGAAAAACACTGTGCCAATATTTTGTGTACAATCACTGAACAATATAAGTGAGTCTCCAAACGCTTTCCTAAGAGGCATATGAGAAACAATTTGGAAGCCCATACATCCTCTTTTAAAGTTTCATTTTCACCATTTTTGGCAGCAAAAGTAGCAAAAGATCTTGTCCTTCCCAGATTCCATATAAGATAATATTTCGTGGTAAAGACTAAGGACTTTAATATTTGGTGTAAACAAACTCTCTTTTGATGCAAAAGAAAAGAAGCAGTGTTTGCTTAGAATCTAGCTTTCTTCTCTTTATCTTCTTTTGAGTTTATCCCTAGGATGATACACACAAAAGCCATGCAATAATATAAGGGAAAAACATGACTTATACAATGTTACTGCTATCTTTCATCTATTTATTCAACATGTGTCCGTCATTTTAAAAAGTTCTTTAGTATCAGATAGTTTATGACCAGGAAATTCCAGGACCTAAAATCTTTTAGCATGTACACCAAAACCATGTAATTTGGGCAACAAAGAGTTGACACTTCTCGGCCAAAAATTTAGTTGGGAAATAAGCTAGATAGTCAACATCTAAAACTACCATGACATTACTTATATAACTGGTAAAAAGGAAAGGTGTTAAATTGTAAGTGTAATGCAAGGTCTTTCTGAGGAAAATTGTGTCTGTTATGCCACCTTTGTGCTACCTGAGAAAACATGTCTAGAGGGAGCTTCCAAAAGACAGTGTAGCCCAGGAACTAGACCAGCCTATGCCAAAGATCTTAAGTTGCCTGATGAAGTAAAAAACTAATTGCAAATAGAAGACTACAAAAATAACAGCTGATCCCTCCCCACCACCCGGGGGGGGTGA